CATCTTAGCTGTAGAGGGCAGTGTCACTGGCCCTCATATGTGGGATCCGAACCGGGGCCCTCTGGCGTCCCAAGCCAGTTCTTAACCATCGCGTCACTCGGCCGGCCCCGTAGTTTTTTAATACACCTCGTACATTAGTGTTTGTTTTTGCTAACCAAAAGAAATCTGCAGAGGATTTTAAATTAATTAAGAGGCTTTTAAATTAATGATAATTTAAGTTGCTTCTTCACTTTACACCATTTCGTTTTATGAAGGTTTCATAGAAATGCTCTTCCTTTGGATAGTGGGGGAAACCTGTATTGTTTTTTTTGCTAACCAAAAGAAATCCAATGAGAATTTTTGCTTTTATGAAACAAGGTAAAGTGCAAAAATAGTGTTTAGGATTTGTTTTGTAGCAAGTTGTTACAGAAGCAGTACCAAGCTCCTCCTCTGGGAGCTATACTCATCATCTCAGCATCAAGCCATCATAGTTTTGAACCTTGTCTGTGAACGTTTGTGGTTTATTTCAATTTATTTTGTGCATCCATTAACCAGATGTGTCCAAAGGCATCAGAAAAGCCTACGAGAGCTTATAAGGGTGTTATACTTAGTATTAAACTGGACGTAATTAAGCATTTCAGTTGTGGCGAACAAAATAAAGACATTGTACGTGCATTGAATTTTGGGTCTGGGAAAGATCACATTTTTTCCACATATAAATTAATGGTAATTGCTTCTTTACTTTACGCCATTGTGTCTTATGAAAAGTTTTATAGGAATGCTCTACTTTCAGACAGTGGCGAAAACCCATATTTGATAAGAAAGCCAGTGTTTGTATTCTTCTGCTTCCTTTGTCTTGGGTTTTGTGGAGATGGCTATGCCGTGGTTAGATTACATCTACTCTGGTGCTTTGGGTCAGTCAAGTATTTGGCTGGAGGGAGGAACAGATCACCAGTTCCACCCATCAAATGTGCATTTTATGGTGGCAGATGACTTTCTCATGCTAATTTTTCTTTTTTTCCCTAGGTTTATGAAGGCCTAGACATCATCACCAACAAGGTTTCTGCCCAAGAGCAGAGAATGTGCCAGCACCACATGATCAGCTTTGTGGATCCTCTTGTGACAAATTACACAGTGGTGGACTTCAGGAACAAGGCAACTGCTCTGATATCCTTAGGAAAGACGGTCACTAGGTTTGGTGGGGGCAAGGCAGCCCAAGCCAAGAAAGAAGTTTTCTTTCTAGTGACAGTTTCTTCTAAGCAGAGGCACCCAAGACCTAACTCCCAATAGGTAGAATCCCCATCAGCACTATGTGGATTGAAAGACATGGTGTCCTTGCTACTCATTCTTGTCCCCAAACTGCAGCATCAGCAACCCTTTGGAGTTCGTTAGACAGGCTGAATTGGGGCCTCACTCCAGACCTACCGAATCAGAATCTGCATTTAACAAGAGTCCCAGGTGATTCATAGGGCCATTAAAAATTGAGAAACACTGGTGTAGTGGAGAGAACATTGATTTAGGGACCAGGAAGTCTGTTCTAGTTTTAGAAACACCTCTTTGATCATGTGAATTTTATTGGGTAAAGCATTTACCCCACTGAGCTTCAGTTTTCTACCCTTTAAATGGGGATACGAAATAAAAATAATGGAGTTCCACTTAGAATTTCAAAGGGATTGTTGGAGGGAGGGGACTGGAAGAAAATGATTTTGGGTATCAATAAGAAATGTTTGAAAGATGAATAGTATAAGGAAAACTGCCTTTGTATCTTAATGTGTAGACTGTCTTTAATATCTGGACTGCCAGATGTTAACACATACTGAAAATTCATAATTATGATAGCATGGAACTTACACGATAATACTAGACAAACATATGGTTCAGAATAGAAAACTCAGATACAAATTTACATGGACATGTATTTAGCTTATCATGGTGGCAAAACAGTGCAGAAATAATGCAATAGTTAATAATTATTCCTGAGACAGTAATAAAGTTAGGTCTTCATTATATATGACAAATTCAGATTTCAGAATTAAATATATGTATTTTTAACAAACTTTGAAACAAATCGGATAATATATAATTGAGTAGTTATATATTTGAATTGATTTTAGATAGGAAAGGGCTTTGTAGATTTTTTTATTTTTTATGGATTTTTTAAATTCAATTTTTCTTTTTTAAAGATTTTATTGGGGAATTGGGGGAGGGGAACAGCGTTGGGGAATCGGGGAAGGGGAACAGACAAGTTGCTGTCCTTTTGTTCTTCAGTCCAGTTGTGGAGGACGTCACTTCACTGGCCTGTGTTGGTATCATCGTTGCGTTCTTCCCAGGTGAGGCAGATCAGTCGCTGGCCTCTGGACGGCTGCTCACGGTGGCTCTTGGCAGCTCATGCCGACTGCCGGCCGCTCACGCTGGCTGTCGGCCACACACGGTAGCTTATGGCAGCCCACTGCAGCCTACGCCGTCGACGGCTACTCACTGCAGCCCAGCTCCAGGTCAAGCTGTTGTTCACCAATTTAGCTGTAGAGGGCAGTGTCACTGGCTCTCATGTGGGATCTGAACCTGGGCCCTGCTGCTCATAGCCTGGTGTTCCAAGCCAGGTCTTAACTAACGTGCCACTCGGCCGGCCCTCAATTTTTCTTTTTTGTGTTAAAATATGCAATATAAAATTTATCATCTTAACCATTTTTTAAATTAGTTTCAGGTGTACAAAACAATGTAATAGTTAGAAATTTACACCCCTCACAAAGTGATAACCCCCCATTTACTACCCCTCTAACATTGTATGTAGCTGTTACAATTCCATTGACTCTTTTCCCTATGTTGTACTCTACATCCCGTGACTATATATTTGATTATAGTTGACCATCTTAACCATTTTTAAATGTACAAGTTCAGTGGTATTGGGTTGTCAGAAAAGTCATGACACATTTTTGCAACAAAAAACAGAAAAAATACATCATCACTTTTCCAACAACCCAATATTAAATACATTCACATTGTTGTGCAGCCATCGCCACCATCTATGCCCATAATATTCATTTTTTTTTCCAACGAAAAATAGCTTGAGTTGAATATGTAAGAATTAAGAATTTGTATTGGCAAGAATGTATATTAACCAGAACTCCTAGGTATCTACCCTAGAGAAACCTTGTCACAAGTATATCAGGAGATACACGGTGGATCTCATTCCATAACAGAATTGTTCTTAACAGCAAAAACATATAAACACTGAAATTCCTACTTACAGAAGAATGTATAAAATTTGCTTTATTCATGTAAGTTAAGTACTTTTTCAGCAGTGAAAATGAATAAATTGCAGCTACATGCATCATTTAATGTGGGAAAATCAGAAACAACATAAAATTTTGGAAATTATAGAAGGACACATACATGTGCATACCATTTATTATAAAGGTTAAAAAGCAAGCAAAACTAACCATATATTAATATATTGTTATATATTCATTGTTAATATTAATTGTGTATATTAATATATTCTCTAAGGGTACATACACATCAATAATAGTGTAAAGAAAAGCCAGGGACTGATGAAAAACCCCAAAATAATTCAAGATAGTGGTTACATCAGAGAGAGAAGTTAAGAGTTGGGATGGAAATGAATGCACAGAAACTTCAAAGGAATTAATAATCCTTACATTGGGTTCATGAGTATTTGTTTTATTATTAGGCTTCATAATTTATGTATATTACAATGTTCTTGTATACATACTGAATATTTTATAATAAAAAAGGAAAACAGTACACTATAAACAAAATTACAAAACAGACTACAAACCAGGGGCATAATACTTGTAACATAGGAAAGGCAGATGGCTAATATACTTAATATATGAAGAACGCTGTTGAATCAATATGAAAAATAAAGGTCATGAGTAGTAATTCACAAAGCAAGACATAAATGGTGATAAACATGAAAAAAGATTTATCCTTGCTGTTAATCACGGCCATGCAAATCAAAATAATGAGATCATATTTTTTTGACTATCAAATGGGTAGAGATTAAAGTGCAGATCATAATTCTTGCCCTACCTGCTTTACAAGTCAGTTAGATAAGATAATGTATATGAACGCCCTTTGCAAATTAAAATATATCACCCAATGTACATTATTGCTACCATAAGACACTTCGGTTGTTCAGAAAGAACTGATAGAAAATGGAGAGCCAATTAAAATTTTCAAAGGGCCACAACAGGGAATGACTTAATCAGATCACTTACAGGATTGGAGATTTAATAAATTTAGGTAATCAGAATGTCAAAACTGAAAGTACCTTAAGAAGTATCCAGTCAACCTTGATTTGACAGGTAAAGGTACTAGAAGTTACTGAGGCCCAAAGAGGAGAAAGGTTTTGCCCAGGATCACAGTTGTTTCATGGCTTGGGCAAACGAGTTAAACTTTTTCCCACCAAATATCTCCCATCCCATTTAGTTCCCTCTTTTCCACTCTCTCCCCTTCTGATATCTCACCATTTTTTTTTTTGGTTTTTTTTTTTAAGATTTTTATTGGGGAATTGGGGAGAGGAACAGCGCTGGGGAATCGGGGGAAGGCGAACAGACAAATTGCTGTCGTTTTGTTCTTCAGTCTAGTTGTGGAGGATGTTGCTTCACTGGCCCAAGTTGACACCATCATTGTGCTCTTGCCGGGTGAGGCAGATCAGTCGCCGGACCTCTGGACGGCCGCTCACGCTGGCTGCTGGCTACACACGGTAGCTTATGGCAGCCCACTGCAGCAGGGACTGCAGCCTATGCTGTCGCCAGGCGACCCACGGCAGCCCAGCCCCAGGTCGAGCTGCCGTTCACCATCTTAGCTGCAGAGGGCAGTGTCACTGGCCCTCATATGTGGGATCTGAACCGGGGCCCTCTTGGCGTCCCAAGCCAGTTCTTAACCAACGCACCACTCGGCCGGCCCGATATCTCACCGTTTTTAACCTTCTTTTATTTTCCTTGTTTCCTTTCCCTTTGTTAATCATATTATATATTTGAAGTTTTATTACAATTGCTGTGTAATTGTATGCTCCCTGTACTTAATTTAAAGGGGGAATATAGAATTTGTTTCTCTTTTAAAAAAACAAATATATAACTTTACTTCTATATGATCCTCAATTGCTAACATCCTTTCCACCCTGTCCCAACCTCTTAAGGGTTAGTGGGCTTCTGATAGAAAAGAGGTCATCTATGTCTACCCACAGCCTGGCTGGCAAGGGGAAGAAGTGTAAATGAGTCTTTGTTTGGTTTGAAAGTCTCTTTTTATCAATTATCCTCAGAAGCAAAGCCCTTCTTAAAGCAGATAATTATCTGTTCAACAGAGATTCTAAAGAGAATTCAAAGTAGCAGAGATAAAAACAATAGTGACTGAGGCAAACTGAGTGCTTAATTACTCAGTTGTAAAAAATATTTCAGGCATTGTGGCTGGGGATTTATTTGCATTGTCACATTTAATGCTCATAAGAATTCATGAGGATTTTACTGGTGAGAAAACTGAAGCTCAGACTGGTTCAATAACAAGGCCTAGAATTGGAGCTGGTAATTGAAATCTATTTGTCTTTAGAACCAGTGCTTCTCAGTTTATCCGGTGGAGTCTCAAGTGGCTGTAATGTGCACTGCTGCCACATAATGGTGAAGACTGGGTCCAAGAACCACGGCTTAGAGAAACCAGCTTGTATTTTGCCTTAGAAGGCAAAGTCACACAATGTACATCACCTTGGTGGCTTCCTGAGCAGCTGACCCTTGGCTCTGTGAGAGTCCTTGGGCTTATGCTCATTTAGCTGATTTGGAATACTAAGCAAGTTTTGAATTTTAGCAGCAATACCTAGAAAGGTCTAGAACTTGAAGGAATTAAAATCATGCGTCTATCTCTGGTTTATGCATGCCCCTCCAGAACTGATAGGAAATGATTCTGAGAACTCATGAGAAACATCTTGGTTTGTACCCTTTCTCCTCTGCTCTGCAGACAAATGAATGTGGTTTCTTATTTAATACCCTCCTTTCCAAGTGAGTCAATATTCTCTTCTTAAATATTGTGATGTCTTTCTTAATATTCACATTGAAGATATATTTGCCCGAGACAAAATCCCTATTGTCGTGGGAGGAACCAATTATTACATTGAATCTCTGCTCTGGAAAGTTCTCGTTAGTGCTAAGGTAGGTTTAGATCACTTGTAACTCACTGAGGAAACGGGTTCTTCTTTCTTGCCAGCTAATTTTAGTGGGAGGAAGGTTGACTCTTCCCTGTTTCTTATACTCAGCAACTATAATTTTCCTACTTAATATTCTGAAGCAAATGCCACCTCCGTATGTGAACTGTGCTCCTCCAGGCAGTCCTAAGGGCAGGGGCTGTCTGTGGGAAAAGTGCTCCTCTGGATTAATTAGCATGTCCATGTGAATTAATTGTACATTAGTCTGATTCAGCATTTCCTGACTGACAGGCTATGTGTCAGGGAGATGTCCTACATTAACCTTTCTTACAGGGATGCTATTGCATAGTGTGGGACTTTGCAAACTATAATGTACAGGCCATTCTGATCCACTCTTTGGTCATACTTGCTGGGAAGACTGTAGACTCCTCATGTGTTAATAGACGTGTCAGCCCTGGCACCTGTTTGTACTTCTGAACGGGAAGCAGGTCACCTGAGTGTTTCTCCAGGGAGTAGTAAGTCCTTCCTCTTTGTTTGCTGTGGCCTCACAGCACTACCATGGTGTACTGTAACTTTCTGCTTATGATCCATCTCTCACTATATGGCAAGACCTGATTCATCTCTGTTCTGTATTCCTAATGCTTAGCTAAGTGCCTAACACATACACTGTCTCAGTGTTTGTTGAGTTGTTGAATTAAATTTACTTCTAAACCTTCGTTTAATAGCCCCAGGAGATGGGCACTGAGAAAGTGATTGACCGGAAAGCAGAGCTTGAAAAGGAGGATGGCTATGCACTCCACAAACGCCTAAGTGAGGTGGACCCAGAAATGGCTGCCAAGCTGCACCCACATGACAAGCGCAAAGTGGCCAGGTAAGAAACTCTGGGCCCGCTGATCCCGGGTTCTTTTAGTTAGAGAGCAGTCAGTTTGTCAATGTGCTGGGTGATGAGAGAGAGGTTTGGTAATAGTAGTTAGTGGAGATTGGTGTGTTCTAGTTCAGCAGGTTAGGAGGCCCTGACTTATTCCGTCAGTCAAACTCCCTCAATAAGTAGTTACACGCTATGTTGTTGTTACATTTAAAATGCATAATACAATATAGCTTTTCCCTAGGGCCTATGTAATCTTGCTTCATTTTCTATTTGATCTTTGCTTGTATAACAGTTTTCATATAAATTTTTTCTGGCATGTAGTTGGTTTACATTGTGATTTGAGTTTCATAATTGATTGTGCAATGCTGAGTTCTCCCCAAGCAGCTTTTCCCAGTGGGAGGTAGATTTTATAAATTGTCTCATGGATCAGCTCACCTTTACACATGGAGATTTTCTTGAAGAGAGAGAATGAACTCATAAGGTCATGTTTTCTTAGGTTGTTTTGAAATTGCAGCCTCATGTGTTACGTGTAGTTTTCTGCAGTGTTGTGAGTGATACCATATCTGGCAGAGGATCTAGTGAAGTATCTACTCTATGGATGGTTATACAGATGAAATATTATAGCAATATATGGTATTATAGGGATTATAAAGTGTTCCACTCAGATGAATGTTCTAGATCATATTTCTTAATTCCTTTTTCATTATTTCCCCTGCACCCCCCCACCCCCACCCAGAAGCCTTTTTAGAATTTTTTTTTCCAAATTGTGCCTCCCTCCCTCACTCCATGCTTCATGAAATTTTAATACTGAAGAATAAGATTTTTTTGGAGGGGTATGGTTGGTTGCCCTTTGGAGGTCCACATGCCTTGTAATATCTAAGTTTTTTTTGCCTCCTTGAGGCATATTCTAGATAAATGAAGTTTATATTTTCCAGTATCCAAGCATTTTACTTAAACATTTTAATAGAAATCTTTCAGAAATTTTTTGGAAAACTCAAGAACATTATGATGAACATTCATTTTTATATTGTTTTATGATATTCTAGAGCTTGGTCTTTATTATCCTTTCCTTTTATTAATCAGTTCTTTCTTATCACCTCTCATTTTGCTACTTGTAAAGTAGTAATGAGTTGAGAATTGTGTCTTTGTAAGAGTCAATAGGTTCTAAGCAAGAGCTCTAGAGTGTCTCTTTTAGACAGGTTTGGAGGACTTTCTTTATCTTTTAGTTTGAGCCTATATTCTAACCTCCAGATAAGTGAGATATCTATTACTATACATTTTGGCCTCATTGGCCCCCTTTGAATGACCAGTGATACGGAATGAAAAGGGGTCTCTACACTTGTGTTAGGGTTTCAGGAAGTAGAATTGGGTCAGGAAGGGAAAGATCACTTTCAAGCTGATAAGTTGCAATCACCCAGAGTGCTAGAGTATAGATTTGGGAGTTAAATTACCTAGTGCTGCATAACATAATAGATACTGACAGAATGGATGGTAGCTTAAGAATAAGTACATGAGTTCTTTCTTCAGTGATCTTTGTGCTAGTAGAGTAACGATTAGTCAGAAGCATTCTTCATTAATTTTAGACATATTTAAAAAGAAAGTTGATGAGCTCGATATACAACATACTTTTGTACTGTGGGAAAGGCATTCCGGCGAGACTGGACTTGTTGGCTTATAACAAAGTGTCCCAAACAAGCTCTTTTACTGCTTACCTAAAAGTGAGTCCCATTCTGTTTGTGTATAAGAAACCTGTTGTTTCTGAATCTGTTTAACTGATTTCAGAAAAATTTATTTGTGTTTAGAAGAATAGTATTATTTCTTGCTTTATATACATTTTTCTTTAGGACCCTTTTCTGAGTAGCTATAGAATGGCAGTAACCCTGGACTTGCATGTCTTCAGGGGCCATGCAGTGAGAATGAGAACGAGATGTTCTATAATAAATAGCTTCTCTCCTTGTTTCACTTGAGAATTAATAGTTCCTAATAGTTTTTATGGGTGTGCTTCCCCCACTCCCTCACCCCCCAAATGACTTAGGAGCTTGCAAGTGTTTGAAGAAACGGGACTCTCTCATAGTGAATTTCTTCAGCGTCAACATGCAGAGGAAGGTGGTGGTCCCCTTGGAGGCCCTCTGAAGTTCCCTAACCCTTGCATCCTCTGGCTTCATGCTGACCAGACAGGTAAAAGCCCTTTGATGCCTTAGAGTCCATCTGAGATAGAGCTTATACATTACTATGTATAAAATTCTTAGAACCATGAGTGGCTCATAATAAGCACTAAACAAGTATTAGCTATTCATTTTACTTTCATTACCACTATTCATGGACTTAGCAAGGCGCAATGCCGTTCTCCTATGTGTATGTCTGGAAAGGGAGTAAGGGCAGTGCTGACACTAGGACAAGATACCAAGGGTGGGATAAGATGGGATGGGTGGGATGGAAAAGAGTCCGCCATACAGGGACGATCCAAAAGGAGAAAGAGAAGGAAGCTCCTGTGGAAGAGGTCTCACTCCCTGGGTTGGCTGGAGGCTGATTATTCTGAATAATCACTGATATTCTAGAAGATGTAGGCCTGAGAAGTGGGTATGACGGTAAGCTAGCCAGCCTGATGGTGGGGTTTTCCTGTGATGGTAGTAATTTCTTTATCCAACAAACATACAGGAAGCATTCAAGGAAGTGTCAAGTATTCTGTGTAATACTTGGATTTCAGAGATGAACACGAGACAGTACCTGCTCTTAAGCTCCCAGCCTAGTAGGGCAACAAATATTGAGATAGATACTACATTGTGATAGATGCTGGGCTAGAACGTGCTGTGGGGACACAGAGAAGGGATGATGAGCACTCCCTGGGGGAAGCCAGGGACCAATTTGTAAGAGAACCTGTGAGCTAAGTCTGGAAAGATGAGATGATTATGAGAACAGGCAGTAGAGTGTAGTTATTAAAAGCACGTTCTCTGAGCCAGCCTGTCTGGATTCAAATTCCTTAAAACTCAACTATGTGAGTTTTCAGGCAAGTTAATATACCTTTCTGTGCCCCAATTTTCTCTTCTATAAGATGGAGATAATGATAGTGTATAGCTCATAGCTTTGTTGAGGATTAGATGAGTTAATAATACATACAGAGTACTCAGAATGTGTCTGACACATCATGAGTTCTCAATAAATGCTAATTTTTAGGAAGATTAAAAAAAAAAAGGTTAGTATCATTGCAGGCCAAGAAATAGCAATGGCAGACATGTAGAAGAGCATGACTGAAATGGTGAAAATTTGTTATTAGTCTCAGTTATACAAGTAAGCTTATAGAAAAGTGATGTTTTAATGAAATGTTTATAAATAAAAACATGTCCTACAAGTCAGCATAAAATAATGGTATCTGACTTATAATAAAGCTATGTTGGACCACCACATCTGAATGATTATGATCTCTCACTCTTTGCTTCTTTGTCTGGCTCAGTAGTTCAAGATATACTTAGGATGGCTTTGGACTAAAGTTCCTCGTTCCTACCCAGAGTGTTCTTAAATGTGAAAAGCACTGAGTACCAAATACAATAGGGAAAAGTAAAAAACGTAAACGAGTGGGCTCTCAGCTGCCTCTAAAATAAACAGTAGACATGCATTCCATATGAGAATAAAATATTTGTCCCTTCTAATAGCTGTAATTGTATCCTTTGTCTTTATATAATAAAAAGATGTGTGTTTCATTCTGGCTGTTTTTATTGGAGTTGCAGAGTCTTGAGTGTGACTAAATATAATATGAATTATATAATCCTTGGCCTCTGAACCCTTTCTTCCATGTGAACAAGTTCCCTTCTTTGTGGCAGCCTACCTATTTATCATGTAAGTGTATAGTACACACCTTCAGCAGGCTTGCTGGTGATGGGCTAATTTGATTCAAGTTCTAGATGAGCGCTTGGATAAGAGGGTGGATGACATGCTTGCTGCTGGGCTCTTGGATGAACTAAGAGATTTTCACAGACGCTATAATCAGAAGAAAGTTGCAGAAAATAGGTGAGAATTTGACTATTATCACCACTTTGACCTATTCTCCATCCCTTGATTATTATGGTCAAAAGACCATAAACGTAATACTGGCTTAGGATCTACTTGTTAGCCTTTGTGTTTGGCATTGGCAAGGCTTGTTGTTGGAAGGAGATTTGGTGTACTTGTTACAGTTGCAATTTTCTAATCTGCCAAACATTCCCAGGAGTTAATTTTCAAGGGAAGTAACCTGGGAGTTCATGGGGGGTGGTGGAGGAAGGAGAAGCAATAACTGCAAAGGATCTCACTTTCCTCATCGAAGGGATGAAACGGCTCAGCTAGATCATCTCCAAGGCCCCTTCTAGCTCTCAGATGCAATGGCTCACCTGCTGATGCTCTCCTGTTCCCAGCCAGGACTATCAACATGGTATCTTCCAATCAATTGGCTTCAAGGAATTTCACGAGTACCTGATCACGGAGGGAAAATGCACACCAGAGACTAGCAACCAGCTTCTACAGAAAGGTGTGAATCCCTCCATCTAACCTAGCCGTGGACATCCCTGGGTGACAAAGTACCCTGCTGGTATGGTCTGAGAAAGAGCTGAGGCTAGAAGAGTCCCAAATCGCCTTCAGCTCAGAATTGAGATTTTTGTCTACCAAGTGTCCACAAGTGTGCTGCTGTGGCTAATTTTCTCTTCTGCTGGGCTAGGTGGGTCTTTCGACAGGATGAGAAGTACTTACTCAGAGGCTCTTATGTTACCTTATCTTTCAGGTATTGAAGCCCTGAAACAAGTGACTAAGAGATATGCCCGGAAGCAAAACCGATGGGTTAAAAACCGTTTTTTGAGCAGTAAGTCTCATGTTTTTCCTTATCCCCTGGGTCTGTTTTCAATAGAATGTAGATGCCCTCAGCTCACTCAGAAAATGAACTTTAGTTTCTGAACCTGTTCTAAGATTGGGGACCTGTTGCGTAAATGATTGTCCAGGGATATTTTCTTGTGATATCTCAGAAAACAAAGTAAATCTTTCCCATGAGGAGTCTGCTTTATGCCTTGAACACATGCGAGCTGGCTGCAAACAGGTAAGAGCAAAACAGCAACATCTTAGCAGAGCTGGTGCTAAGGGTTGATTTTAGCTTCAAATTCTGTACCTGGAGAGCAATCAGATTTCTGTAGGGAGGCTTTCCTAATTAAGACGGTTCTTGGGCCAGGTGCGCAGTGTAAAAAGACAAAACCACCCATTCTCCCAGCCGTGCCTTTGGGCTCAGATATATGGTGCTTCACACTGCGTCAACTTTAATTTTGGTTGAACAGCACTTTTAAGGAAAGGGGAAGGAAAATCTCATTCATTTGACTCTGCACTGTGTCCCTGGCACTAGATTTGGTGCTATACATAAATTATTGAGACTTCGAGATAGGTGTTATTCTTCTTTTTGCAGATAAGGAAATAGAGGCTTAGAGAGGGTAAATAACTTGCCAGAAATCCCCCAGCTAATGAGCAGTAGAGCGCTGAGTGCCCCTGACTCTGAGGTCCACATTCCGCTTTCTACCACTCTTCTTGTTTCCTTTAGCTGTAACTGTAGCTACACAGCATTCGCATTGGCCTTGGATAAGAAACTGTGTGCTTATGAGCTAAAAGGAGATTAAGCATAAGTGAAACCCCAATTTTATCTTGTGGACACTTTTAAAATATGGTTCTGAATCATCCTGTTTAACTTTTATTTCTGCTTTCAGTTAGGGATAAGGCCTCCACCCCTGCCTCTGAAAGTCAACACCTTGAGTCATATTGTTGACTAGCGGATTGCTGACCTTCTCTCTCCCAGAGCTCTGCCGTGTAGCTGTGGCACCAAGAGGCTCTTTACACTTTCTTCTTATCCTGCTTTCTCTGCATGTCCTGTTAGATAGAAGTCTGCGTTAGCTGAAATTGAAGTTCACGACTACACATTTCTAACACAGCTTCTCTTTTCCCCAGGGCTAACAATTAGTCTGTAACAGAAGATTTTTTTGTAATGATTTGGAACTTCCTCCTGTGGTAAAGCCACAGTAACTCCCCCATCTCTGAGTCAGGAAGGGTTGATGGCACAGGGCATCATATGCTCATTCCTCATTCATGTGTATGCCAGCACAGTCCTGGTGCTAGAGTGAAAGGCACAGCTGCCCTGGAAATCAAGAGCCGTGTGTGATTGGCCAGAGCTGGTCTGCTGGGATATGGTTCTGGCAAGAAGCCAGAGGGACTTCCCCACCCCAGCTTGGCCTTGGACTCAAGCCAGGAATAGCAGCTGGGAGCCGAGAACTTGTTGAAAGGTGCTTAGACAGGGCACAGAAGCCCAACAAAGGACTTAGAGGGGAAAGGAAAATATAGAGTGGCCTGCAAACAGGTGCAGAGCTTAGCCAAGGCCAGGTGTGCTGTGGATGCTGCCTGCACCCTCCCAGTCTCACCTTTCTGTGTGGTGGCAGGTGTAGCCCAGTCCAGTTTAAGAAGAATCTTATTCGTGGTTGGCACAATCAAAAGGCTGGCATCTGCCAGCCGTTGGCATCCTGAGGACTTTGATGTTTGTGTCTATGGGGCAGTGCTCTTTGCCTCTAAACAACTGACTTAACCTAGCTGTGGAAAACAATTTAGTGTGTCCACAGACTGGGGAAGCTACGGCAGAGGCTGGCCATGGTTGGCTCAGATGGATGAAATGCCTGTAGCTATACTCTCGGCTATCTTCAGCCCCATCTCCATTCAGAAGTACTTTAAGCTATTAGTTTATTTCTTCCTCTGGTGTACTATCTTTATGTTGTAGCCCACACAGTGGTCACTGTAACTGTTACTCTTTATTGTTTTCCTGACTGATTTGGAAGGTCCTACACCTGAGACTGAATTACACAGCTAGACTTGATGGCTGCAGACCAGCCAACCTTCTAGGTCTTTCTTGGATTCTATGTAGCTGATTGGTTCATGTTTCTAGTTAGAATGAATGGCATGGTCAGAACGTTTATCATTCCTTTGGCCCCCATATGTTTCCCTTGACTTTTGGAGTCCTGGCAGCAGAATAGATTAGGTCTTGGGGGCTGACCTCTCATAACTTTTCTTTGTCGTCATTAGGACCTGGTCCCGGTGTCCCCCCAGTATATGGCTTAGAAGTATCTGATGTCTCGAAGTGGGAGGAGTCTGTTCTTGAACGTGCTCTTGAAATTGTGCAAAGTTTCATCCAGGTGATTATTAGTCATGATACTATCTATTGTCTGGTTTTCAGACAGCTTTCCTTAGCTTACACCTTTGTTGCTATGTCGGGAACCAAGCCTTTTCCATGGAATAGAGCAGAAGGGCTGGCTGCTTTTAGATCCCTGGAGGCTGCGTCTTCTCTCACATTCAGAAAGGTTGTTGCTAAAATCTGTTCACAGCCCACCTGCTCTCTGGGATGAGAAAAAGGAATCTTGGAAAAATCCCACTCTCCTTAATATCAATGATATCCAAATCTCTTTGAATTGAATGCTTCTCCCCCATCTACCCCTTGTTCTTTCAGGGCCAAGAGCCTGCTGCTGCTCCAATAAAGATACCATACAATGAAACTGAGAACAAGAGAAGTTATCACATGTGTGACCTCTGTGATCGAATCATCATTGGGGACCGCGAATGGGCAGGTAGAGCCTGGGGAAGGACACAGAGAAATCTGTAAGGGCGGGTCACACTGACTGCATGAAATTTCAGCTCTTTGCTAGGTTGAAGCTGGAGTCTGTTTATTTGTAAGGGGAGGGCCAGATTCCTCTGAGAACCTGCCCTCAGATTTCATGGATGCCTTCCCAAATTGAAGAGTTATTTATCTCTGTATTCTGAATTTCAAAGGAAAATCATATGCCCTCTAGCTTCAGCTGGAGTAGATATTTTACACCGAGAGGTCTACAGTTAACTTTCCAGAGCTCCTTTAATTTCGTGATCCTGCCTAATAGGAGTTCCTTGGCCTTTCATGTTTAGACCTCAGTGGGGTGAGGTAGGTTTATAAGAGAAGCCCTGCAACTCACCCAAGAGACCAAAGCAGCAGAGATAGCTGGAGGAAGCAGGAAGTGCAGCTCCTCTTCCTGAGGACAGTCTTCAGCAGCGGAGTCTCTTCAGTAAGTTTTAGGGTGATGGCGGTGGTTGCCAACACTGATGAGAGGTGTTAAGGGAAGCTGTGTGGGAGCAAAGGTGGCTACGGTAATGCCTTCTTTGTAAGGTGCTTCTGACCAACCCAGCGTCAGCCCTGCCTGAAGGTTCTGTCTCTGGCTTAGAATCTGGATTCGCCTCTGCCACAGTGTCACACTGCACTCCTCTGCCAGATTTCTGTAGTCATCCAGTCAACGCCCAAAGGGCCTTAGCCTCCACGCCTTGAATTTATATCATATTTAGAAACTTGTTTAAGGCTCACTCCTTTTAGGCACAGTAGGGCTTGCAGTTTACCCAGCAGCTAAAATCCTCCTGTTCAGAGTACTGCTTTGCGTGGGTTCTCATAGAAGTAGATTTTTTTCTCCCCATACCAATCAATAGAACGATTAGTTCTGTTAACTGGTAATTCTGGCAAAATGAACCCCATTGTCAGAGACTGGGGATGGCTGCGATTGCCCAAGTAGCAGAAGAAGCCTCGATTGTGGTTGGTTTATAATGATGAAAGGGGGAGAGAAAGAGAGTGTCTGATTGTTTTTTCTAAAGGAAACTTAGTGGTTCAATTTGTCGAATGTCCTTCAGGGATAGCCTTAGAGAAGCCACATTTGTGAGCCTGTCTGAGCTCAGCTTGTGTAAGCCCTTCTATAGTGCCATCTGTCAAGTTCTTGCTCCTGTCTCCTGCTGCCATAGCTCAGGCTCTAGCTGGAGAACAAAGCTGACTTTTTTGCCAAAGTAAACTTTTCTTTGACTTCTAACCTCTTTCTTATTTATTTTTGCTTCTGAGCCCTTAAAAATTATGTTTTAAATATGTATGAAAGAGAATTTAATCTAGTTGTCTGTTTCTTTAGGTGTTCCCAAATAAGATTTCCTTAAAAAAGAACAGGCTGTGTGAGTTAGTCAGAGGGTGGGAACTGTCTTTGGGATGAGAGGTCAGAAATCGGTATCAGGCAACAGTAGCTTTATTGCTTCTATGGACCCTCAGAAGGGACCGTCAGAGAAGACGTTTCTTGTTGTCTGTCTGGAGCATTGTGTGCTTGGAGAATGTGAGCCTTGTGGGTTAGCCATTCAAATGGCTTACCTGACTCAGGCAGAGGGATGTCAGACGAGGAGGGGCAACCTGTGCGAGCAGGGGAGAAGTGGAAAGGTCATCTCTGGGTGCTGCAGCCTATGGCAGGGCAGGGCCTCTGTCCTGCAATACAGTCAAGGAAGGACTTGAATGTGTAACGTTTTTAGTCATGTGAATTGAAATGTGTCTGTAACAGGAAGCCCCATACTGAAAGTTTTAGTCAAGAATCCTGATTCTGGAAAATTAGGCTGCTTTTTGGAGCTATAGGTAAAGCTGAGGAGCTTACCTACTGTGTGACCTTGGACAAAATGTAAGACCTCTGTGAACTTCAGTTTCCTTCCCTGTAAAATGAGCGGTACAGCACTACTGTCCGCAGGGTTGTGGGGAGGGTTAGGGAGGGAAAGCACCTGGCAGGGTGCACTTGCTACATGGTGGTGCACTGTATTAGCTAGCTAGCTGGCCCTGTAACTTACTCTTCCCTTAAAAATGCTAAGTAACTATACTAAGACGTGTTGATCCTGTTATTGTTAAAGAAAAGGATTTCATCGTTAATTTTATATGCTTCTAGGATGAATTCTAGAGAATCCTAATGGGTCGTTTTGTTTTGTTTTGTTTTGTTTTAGCACATATAAAATCCAAATCCCACTTGCACCAATGGAAGAAAAGAAGAAGATTGGACTCAGATGCCATCACCACCATAGAAAGTCAGAGTATTTCCCCAGACCATGACAAAGAGCTGAAAGAGAAGGGATCCCCAGGGCAGAATGATGAAGAACTGAAATCCAGTGTTTAAGAGACATGTCCAGTGGCCTTTGCAAAGGTGGCAGGGATCCAGTTCAGGAGGGAGGTCACGTCTGTGTCCCAGTCTGGGCCGAGGAGTGCTCTGCAGAAAACTCCCACCATTTCATTCAGTGGTGTGGTTTTAAAGTCTCATGTTCTGTGTCATGGAAACAGCAGGTCTTGTCAGCTCCTTGTGTGGCTGATGTGTCTGGCAATGATGAGTTCAGGAAGGGATTTTTTTTTTCTTTTAACCTTAAAGGTTCTATTTTTAAAAAGGCACAGATTGCACTTTTTTACACTTAAGGATCTTTTTGGTGATGAATACCAGGATTCACTATGTCCCTTAAAAAAGAAGTTTTATGTCCCTGATTCTGGCTAAAAATATTGAATTTCCAGGCACTTTTATAGATGACTGAAATATTGTGAGCCACAAATCAGGAGTTCCAGGTTTGTATGAATGGCAGGAAAAGGCTGGTCCCAGTGAGATGATTAAGTGAACCAAACCACATCTTGGAATTCCAGAGAACGAGAGAATGAGACCGAGGTGGTCATGGCATGGGGCATTTGTTGATTTCTCCTGTGTGATAATTGCTATCACTGCTGTCTTTCTATTGAGTTAGGAATCTATACTTTTAATGAAAGTTAAATAAAAAGAGTTTACAAGAGCCTCTTTAGTTCTTAAAAAGGTATATGTCCACATCTAGTTTGTACACAATATGCTCAGTTATCTACATGATGGCTTTTTCTTAAATTTAACATTCTTTATATGATCATGCTGACCATTTATTTAGCAAATGTTTATTGAGCACTTAATTATATTCCTGGAAGACATCTGGAGAGGGTCTTTTATGGGAGATTTATGTTAGCGCCAATAAAATTTGAAGCCCTCTTTCTGGAGTGAAATAAAAAGACATTCATTGAGAAATCTCACTCCCATGTCCATGCCCTTCTCCCCCCATAATCACTTACTAGTTTCTTACATATCTCAAGAGCTGGGGTTTTTTTGTTTTTAAAAATTGGGGAACAGTGTGTTTTTCCAGGACCCATCAGCTCCAAGTCGAGCAGTTGTTTCAATCTAGTTTTGGAGGGCACAGCTCAGCGGCCCATGTGGGGATCGAACCAGCAACCTTGGTGTTGTGAACACTGCGCTCTAACCAATTGAGCTAATCGGCTGCTTCTTAAGAGTTTTTAAGCAAAACCTAACAAATACAAATATATATTCTTATTATTTCCCCTTATCCAAAAGATAGCATATAGCACATACTGTTACCTTACCTATTGGCAGTACCTGGGCATGCATGGATTTCTCCTGCCACCTCTGGCGGGTCTCCTGTTTTTGGCTCTGACCACTCACCCTAGGGTCCCTCAATCTACTCACCTTTGTATACTGAACTTTATTCAGATGCCAGGCTTTAGGCCAAAACCAACCTCTGAGGAATTCTCAAGCTATGGCCAGCCCATTCATTCATCCAGCAAATATTTTAGAACGTATATGCCATGTGCTGTGCTAGACTCCAGGAATACAATAGTGATCCAAAAAGTCCACATCCATCAAATAATTACAGAATTACAGCTGTGATAAGAGCTGCATAGAAAGGACATTTGCTGTAAGAGCAGGTAATGTGAGGACTTGCCCACCTTAGTGTGTGGGAGTGTGTGTGTGTGTGTTGGTGGAGGCATGTGTTGAGGCATCTGGCGTGGCAGGGCACGACGCTGGGCAGCAGTCTGTGGCCAGCACTGCAGATGTGGTACCTTGTGACCTGGAAAGCTGGGTCTCGCAACTTGACTTCTGTAGCTTCTCTTCCCTGTTCCCCAAATCTGTAGGATGTCCTGGCCCTCTTCAGCCTCTTTACCCCCCTTTAACTGATTTAAATCTCAAGAATACAGTTTTTTTCTGGCCAAGGAAGAAATTGGCATTGGATCCACCCATGTTGTTCTTTACATTAAACATGATGTAATTTTCCCAGTTTATTACCTGCTTCAGGAGCTAACGGGAAGCCACATCTTTCCACTGCAAATGGAGATGAATACTTAGTGTGAGTCAAGCAGGACCAAGCACTTTGTCTACATTATCTTCTCACACAGCCCTGGGAGGGAGATGCTGTTTCTGTCTCTGTTAACCAATGGGGAACCTGGGGTTCAGCAAAGGCGTACAGCCAGCGAGTGGCAGAGCAGGAGCTGAGGCGAAGCCCCCCGACTTCAGAGCTCGAGCCGCTAAGCACTGTGGTAAGCTGGCCGTTTTTAGGGAGGAACCGTAGTCTTTCTGAAGTGCTATTCACTCAGGTTGCTAAATGTGTTTGAAAGCTGTAGAAAAGTTTCAATGGACAAGCAGGAAAAACTAGTTTTAATAATCCTACCTCAAAAAGCCTTTAATCCTTCCATCTGAAATACCTGGAGCGGCAACTTCCCACTGAACCCATCTCTATCTCTATGGCAATTGGAAATCAGGAATCTCTTGAAAGAAAGAAAATGCTTAATATTAACAAAGTGCTTACAAAGTCTAAGGCACTGTGGTGCCCACGGCCCCTGTTGTTAGAAACTATAAATTCAGCAAGGTGGAATTTCTTTCCCAGTAGCAGAGCCTGAGGGGGAGGCAGCACACTGGAAATGTGCCTCTTGCTCTGTCTGAGGCAGTGCCCTGAGGCAGATGATCCTTCCTCTGCCCTCTGAGTGACTGCTGTTAAGCGCAGGTTAGGATACTAGTTCTTCCTAGTGATGGTCGTAAATTTAGAGGCTAAAGGATCCTTAGCACCTTGTACAGAAGGGAAACTGAGGCCCACAACGTGAATGTACTGCAATCACAGAGCAAGTTGTGGCAAAGCCAGGACAAGCCTCTCAACTAGTAAATCTCATTTGAGAGCAGGGAAAGGACCACAGAGAACAGCTCTGGGCTATTTGTTCAGCCTGGAGTGAGGATAAGGAATGCCATCTCGCACCATCTGGCATTAGCTAATCCCCAGACAAGCAGAGCCCTAGCCCAGGTACCCAGACTCCAGCTCTAGCCATGCTGTCTAAATGGCCTTCGTAATTAATTCCAACACTCAGCAAGCTATTAGCTCCATCTACCTCTGCCAGTAAAAATCCTTTTCCCCCAGTTTTATTGAGATCTAATTGACGTAGAAAGTAAAAAAAAAAAAAATCTTGACAAGACTTGAGACAATTCTTGCAGTTCAGACAATGCAGTTTTAAGTGGTTAGGAAATACTTTGACTCCGAAAAGAAAAGTTGGATTCTTAGTCTTTAAAATATTTTGCTTGATTTTTAGGGCTAAGCAAGAGAATAATTCATAGGCACAAGGTTTGATCCTTTGTAACTCAGTAATTATTTATATTCTTAGCCTCAGTTCCCCATTCTACAAACAGGATTTTTCTGCTTCAAACACACAGCACAACATTAAAAACACTCACTAGAAAGCAAGCTCTTATGACTGTAGGAACCTGGGTATATATCCCCAGCATTTAGAAAGTGAAATGTTTGTTGAGTTAATTGCATGAAAGCCAAGTGGGTCTACATAAATGATCTGCTTCAGTTGTTAAACAGCTTTTAACTAGGATGGAGAAGCCTTGGGATAGTAGCCACAGGAAGGGATTTCATTATTTGATTATCACATACTTGGGAGGTCAGGGCTGTTTTCCAAAAACGATGGCTAACTGGTCATTTGTAAAGCTATTCTGAATATGTACAAAGGAACCTGCATGGTTGTATTAGTTAGGGTAAAAGGCTAAGCTGTTGTAACAGACTCAACAATACAGTGGCTTAAAGAACAAAGGAGTTTGTTTCTTTCTCACATAACAGCTCTGAGGGGAGTTAACATTTCTGAAGTGAGCAGTCCAGGTCAGTGGGGCAGCTCTGCTCCAAACGGTCATTCAGGGACACAGTTTCCTTATATCATGTTGCCTCTCCATCCTCTGGGGGTGGGCATTGTCATCACCTGCACGATTGAAGCTGGGTCATCGCTGATTTCAGCCAGTGGGAAGGGAAAAAGCACAGAGGAGGCACACCCGATGCCTGAAGGCCTAGGCCCTGCAGCGGTGCGCATACTTCTGCTCCCTTGGCAAAAATTTAGTCATATGCCACACCTACCTGCAAAGGAGGCTGGGAAATGTCGTCTAGCCGTGTGCCAAGAAAGAATGGGAAAACAGATTTGGGTAGGCAACTTGCAGTCTGTACTAAATGAGCACAGTGGAATGGGCGCCGGATTCCAGGCTGGTGTAACTAATTAGCTCTGATAGCTTGCTGAGGGCAAATCTCTCTATTTCCCCATCTGTGAAATCAGTGAGTTGTATGAGCTGACCTTTGAAATATTTCATAAAGTCAAGCTTGACAAAATCTTGGCTGGTGAGATTTTAAGGCGAGAATTTAAAATGCATTATAGGAAACGTGAGCCTGCATGAGCCTGAGGGCCAATTCTAACACTCTAAAGATGGTGGGGAGGAAAGAGAAGGAATTCGGGTGGCATTGTGGAATAACTTGACTAAGAGCTGTAACTACCTACCTCCAGACTTCTTTTTATGTAAAAACAAAACAAAACAAAAAAACTGCTGCTTGTACTTGCCGCTGAACACTTTCCCCTCTGACATACTATCTGTGTGACCTTCGGAAAATGGCTCAAGCAGCCTGATTTCCTCATATATAAAATAGAGTAAGTACCGCCATTCCAGGGGTCATCGTAAGGATTAATTGAGGTCCTTTTGAAAACAGCATAGTGTTTGGCACTGCAGTGCCCAGCAAATGGTAGCTATAAATTGGAGTTATTTGCTTCATTGGGGAAAAACAGTTAATGCTGCTAAAGTATTGGTTTATGGTATGGTATCAGTTCCAAAAGTTATCAGGAAAAGCGCTGACTTAAAACACAAATTGGTGGTCCCCAGTGCTAATGGCCAAAAACAGTGCCTCAGGCTTTATCTGCAGCCCAAAGAGGCTTCAGCTACTCGTTGTTGTTATTGGGTTTTGTTTTTAATGCATATAATTTCTTCACGGGTTAGTTTGTGTGCCTAAACTATTTTCTCCACCCGAAATGCCCTGTCTCCTCCTCGCCGTGTGAACTCCTGCACATCCTTCAAGGTTTCCTTGCTCCTCTAGGGAGACTTAGTTTCTCCTTCCTATCTGTTCCCATAGCAGTTTCCACATAACATTAGCAAGTATTTATATAGCACTAGGCGCAAGTCATGTTCTAAGCACTTTACCTATCATAACTCATTTAGTCCTCACAATAGCCCTATGAGGTGGTATCCGTGGTGGTTATTATTAGCTCTTTTTCAATTCAGGAAACGGAGTAACAAGAGTTAAATGATTTTCCTGGGGGAAAGCTGGGATTTGAGAGTAGGTGGGTGGCTCCAAAGTCTCGTACCCACCATATTCTTTCACTCCCTCATTACTCTGCTGCAAGCATATTATCACCTGTAGTAGCTCTTGCTCCCATTGGAAAGTAAATTCTACCAAGATGTGAGCCCTATTTTAAGACAAATGTGGAATACACAGTGGGTAACCAGTAGCTGTTGACACTAGCTCCTTCAAGGCATGACTCCCACGTCTTAAAAGTGAACATGGCTACTCATCGAGTGCTTGCTATGTATTAAGCACATGTGCACCTTATAATGATTCCTTTAAACAAATGCACAAGTTAATTTAATATCCCCATTTTGTACACAGACATACATATTGAGAGCTTACTGGTCGCTGGCACAGAGTAGACATGCAAATATTTGTCGAGTACTAGAAGAAAGCTCTGAGGGCAGAGATTTTTGTTCATTAACTGTTATCCCTGACACCTACAAGGGGCCTGCTGCTTGAAAGACACTCAGTAGATATTAGTTGAGCCAGGATTTGAAGCCAGTTGGCGCTGACTCTAGAGCCCGTGCTCTAACCATTAGGCTGTACTTCTCCAAGGGCACTTAGGGCTTTTTAAATGTACATATTATTTATATCTCATCTTATAAAAAGGAATCAAGACAAGAAAAAGCAAAAAAGATTTCTGGAGAACTAACTCTTCTACTAAGATGTTTATTATAGTAAAGACTCATGGTTACAAATGAAACAAGCCAAACTCTAGCTTAAGCAAAAAGGTGAATTTGTGATGGGGTTACTGAGGTGTCTCATCAAATTCAAGGCCAGAAGAGCATCAAGGCCCTGGGTACAGCGAGTACTACCTGGTATGATGCTGGGGAGACTCCCTTTTTCCCTTCTCTTGAACAGACTTTCTCTACATAGTGGGAGACAGGGCTGCCAGTAGCACCTAAGCTTTTCCTCGTACAGCAGCGGTTCTCAACCTTCCTAATGTTGTGACCCCTTAACACAGTTCCTCATGTTGTGGTGATCCCCAACCATAAAATTATTTTCGTTGCTACTCTATAACTGTAATTTTGCTGCTGTTATGATGAATCATAATGTAAATATCTTTTTGTTTCAATGATCTTAGGCGACCCCTGTGAAAGGGTCGTTCGACCCCCAAAGGGGTCGTGACCCACAGGTTGAGAACCGCTGTCATACAACTTTTATATCTGAGAGAGATTGTGCTGATGTTTTCTCTTGTTCTAAGTTCAAATGTGCCAGGACAGCTCACACCCATTAGGATGGCTCCTATCAAGAAATCAGGAAATAATTAATGTTGATAAAGATTTGGAGAAATTGGAATGCTTGTGTACTGTAGGTAGAAATGGAAAACGGTACAGCCACTATGGAAAACAGCATGCCAACCGGTTTTCTCCAAATGGTCAATTGGAAGTTTCTACACCTCACTTCTCATAGCTTTTTCCCGCTACAAAGAAGTGGACCTGCTTCCCAAGTTTGAAAATCTCAGGGAAGAACTACGAGTAGAACTGAATCCTGTTGTCTCCCCCTGGATTAAGCAGGAAAGCCAGTCACCTAAGAACATGGCAATTCCTTATAGAACCATATGACTAAAGTGGAGCTGAGGGAAAAAAGTTTTTAGAAAGAGGGTGGGCATGGGATTGATGCTTAGTAGACCAAACAGTAGGTGTCCACAGCAGTGACACAGAGCCAGTAAGTGGCAGATTAAGAGAGTAGCCTGGGTCTTTTGACTATACGGTAATTACTGAGTTCTTCCCACGCAAAAGGAAGGCTCTGTCTCTGCAAGGCCCCTGGGACAGTGCATTCTCAAGTGTGACCCATCAGCCTTGGAGTCACCAGATGTGGGGTGATGAGCCAGCTGAAACTGAGACAATCATTTTGTCCTATGTCTTCTGCCTGAGCTTCCTTATTAATATCAAGGGGATCGAAGGATAAAGACCTTTATATAAATGTTATTTGTGGATTCAAAAATGTCTCCATGTCCTACTAGATCTGCATAATGAGGTAGAGTCGCATGAAAACCAGTGGGTTCCTGATGATGATGGAAGTGCCAGCCCACCCTCTTCAAATTTTCACCATCAGAATCTTCACACGCCCTGGAGGAACCCCCTTCTTGATAGTGGCGCTCATGGCTTTCAGTTGTTTTAAATGGCAGCATGTAAAGGGTGCTGAGAATTCAGTGATCATCTGGTTCAGTTGTTTTCAAACTTGCTTCAGCTGTGGATCCTTATTTTTCTTCCTCCAAATAAAACGTCACCTGAATTGCGTTATATAACATAGATTGAAGCAGAGTGGCTAGGATCTGGGTGGGCCACAGGTGCCTCGAACCCTCTGATTCAGTCTCCTCTCCTGTGGAGCACACCTTGCAAGTCTCTCATCTAGGTTAGCCATTTTATTTCGCAGATGGAGAAACTGAGGCCCAGAGAGGTGGAGTGGGCCACCGACCACAGAACACAGACTAGCAGTGCTGTGACTGGATCCCTGGTCTCCTGGCTTAGGAGTTGTGTTCTTTCTATTGTATCCTGGTGCTTCTGGCTGTTTCAAATGAGCACTCCAACAAAGTGGTTGTGTTTTTCTTCAGGTTCATAATAACTTGAACTGGACTAACATGAAGGCAAGTAGAGGACGTTGGGAGCCTAAAATCTAATAAACAGGTAAGAGCTTTATAATTAGTTATAATTAACTTATTCAGCAGACTTAATGAGCGCTTACTACTCACATTCTAGGTGCTAGAGATATGTCCGTGAACAAGACAATTCCTGTCTTCAAAGAGTTCCAAGCTACTTCAGTGGAGGTGATAATGCTATAATAGAGATGTTCAGGGAACATGCACAGTCGGACCTGACCCAGTTCAGGGAAGTCTGGGAAGGCTTTCTGAGGAAATGGCATCTGAGGAAAACACTG